AGTTTGTGAGGGAGATGGTTCTCCAGTTTAATCGCTGGTGTTCGGCATCAGAAGTTGTCACTTTTCAACAGCTTTGTGATTTGGTAACACTTGAACAATTTAAAAACTGTGTACCAGACAGTGTTGCTACTTATTTAAATGAAAGAAAAGTTAAAACACCCCATGAAGCAGCGGTGCTGGCCGATGAGTACATCCTCACTCATAAAAGTACATTTGTTGACGACAAAGTTGTTGTGCAGAATAGTGGTTCGGTACGCACAAGCAAATCTTTTCTGTTACATGGGGAGTCTGGTTCCTCTAGGTTCGATCGTGGCTGGAAGAAAGGTGATCCCAGTAAGAATTGTAATTATTGTCAGCGTAAGGGGCACTGGAAAAATGATTGTCCTGTACTTAAAAGAAAATCTAAGTTCTTAGGTAATGCACAGGTAAAGCCAGCTGCTTTAGCTGCTTCAGCCCAGAAAAAAATCCAAATACATAGTTCCAATGACCTCTGTCCTGTGGCAGAGTCAAATGAGGATGATGACTTTTCAGCCTTTATTTCGGATGGTTATGTCTCCCTGTGTGGAGAGAAGGTGCCTATTAATTAACTGGAAATGTGTTCTGCCATCGTTTTATAAGAAAATGTAGTGCATGTCGAAAACGTGCGTCTCTCACTGAGAAACGCTCATTTTCGAACTCAGTGACAATGTTCTTGTAACTTCATACCTATGCTTCAGAACATCATGTGGACTGTGAAAACGTGTTTAACAGGCAAAAATATGCTAGATTTAGTGCAAGATTAACTGGAAATATGTTCTGGCATCGTTGTGACGACCCCGTCCTCTTTTCTGGTCATTTCTTGGTGTGTCTGTTTCTTTTAGGTTTCCAGGTAGATGGGTGGAGCTACTAATTGGATGTGCACCTGGAAGGCTGGGCCTAGGTTATTTAACTGGCTCCTCCTTCTCATTCTTTCTCTCTCCGACCATTTCTCAGAGCACCTGCTTCCTGTTTGGGTTTGTGATATTTGGTTAGAAAATAAATATTTTTGTTTTAAGTTACTTAAAAGTGTGTGGTCTCCCATTTTTGTCTTGCTCTCTGAGCCAGGGCTATGACAACATGCACTCACAGGAGAGGCGAAAGAAGTTTCATTGAACATGGTACAAACACCTCAACAGGATTGCTCCTGGAAATATTGGGCTTTGTAAAGCACCTGTAGGGGAAAAAAGGAGCATACCTTTTATTCATGTGGAGTTGTCAAGGTGTCAGGAGTTTTGTCAAACTGCTCTTTGTTCCATTAACATTGCTTCTGTGAAACATTTCGTCTTTATTGTTAAGGTTAAACATTTTCTGCATGTCAACGTCCACACATGGAAACAGAAAGAGAGATGGAGAGAGGGAAGGGAAGATAAAGCAGAATCTCTCCCTTTTATCCTTTTATTATTAAATTAAAAATTGGAGACTTACCAAAGAGAGCAACAAGAAAGCACCACAGGCAAGAGGGGTTCCACAGAGAGGGAGAGAAACAGAGGGACTGAGGATGAAAGTGCTGTAGAAGCTGCAGGGGTGGAGGTGGGCAGCCTACCTCTGTGCAGGGCACAGAAAGGTGGGCAGTCCTTCATCTTCAGACAGGCAGACAGGGCTGTCTGGGGAGTTTATTTTTACCTTGTTGAATGAGGAGTCTGGAGTCTGCGGTCAGGCAGCACCATTCAGCAGTGGTTCTAGGACAGATGCTGTCCCAGTGTGACAATCTTTCACGCCTGATGATACACAATCATCTACACACACACACAAGGACAAATCCCGCTCCTGGAGGAATCTTATGAAGTGTCATGCTTTGATTAGATCAGACTACACACATGCTGCTTTTTCATATTTAATAGTGACTGGTGTTTCTTTAGTGTCTTTATGGGAGAACCCCAATTATTTGCCACCTTGAGTTTTGTGCAAATAAAATGAGCGTTTTATACATTTATACATTTCATTGTGGGTTAAAAAATAAATCAGTCCGATGGTTGAAATGTTTAATACAGAAATGTGTCCTACGTTTTCAGTCCCTGCTCAAAGAGTCTGTTTATCATCGGCACAGTGATGTCTCTGAGTAGAAACCCTCAGACTATAGGCTTTAAAATAGACAGTGATGAGTTTAAAACGGCTTGCATTTAAATATAACAGAAGCTTTCAGTAAAGGGGTTGAAAGCAGACTGTAAAATAATAAACAAAGATTAGTGGAAATTGTTAAAAACTAAATAAACATAAAAATATAAAGCTTAAAGCATAAAACTCCATCCTCGTAGAGGGCCGTTTTTTGTATTGCACAGTTATTGCTTGATGTTAAATCCAACAGCATTGTTGCCTCAAAAAAAATTGAAAATGTAAAATGACTTTAACATGTATTGAAATACAACCTCTTAATCTATGTTGCCACAGCCTGGTATAGCTTTCTAGTCTTTCTTTTTACAGTGGTATGGAAAAATCTACAGGGTGGCTATTCAGAGTCAGCTTGATCTCTCCAAAGAGAGTAGTTTGTTCGTTGTCCAATGTTAACCAAAGATACAAAACAAATTTTATTTGTTTTGTATCTTTCTTTGCCATTGATTATTTGCCCCTAGTTATGCAGCCAATCTCATTTGTATCAACAAAAACACAGCAACATTTTTTTCCTAGGACCATGAAGGCATCACTGCCACTGCTCTGTCTTTATATGTTAGAACTTGCCAGAGGTAGCCAATCAAGGCAGAGTAGATGCTGCTTGTTTTCTTGACAACCACAACAGTATCAATGCTGGAGCACAGGTGATCTGCTGCTACTGCTATTGCTGCTTTAAAAGGATGTTGCCTTATGTTGTGCTTCTGACTGTTGTTTGTGACCTGGTGTGTGACCTCCTGTTCCACATGAGTCACACTGCATTGCCCTCACACACTACTCCATGTCACCACTGTTTTTCTTTTTATGTATCTTTTGTTTCCAGTTGAACCTTTGGGTAAATTGGGCTTTGTAAAGCACCTGTAGGGGAAAAAAGGAGCATACCTTTTATTCATGTGGAGTTGTCAAGGTGTCAGGAGTTTTGTCAAACTGCTCTTTGTTCCATTAACATTGCTTCTGTGAAACATTTCGTCTTTATTGTTAAGGTTAAACATTTTCTGCATGTCAACGTCCACACATGGAAACAGAAAGAGAGATGGAGAGAGGGAAGGGAAGATAAAGCAGAATCTCTCCCTTTTATCCTTTTATTATTAAATTAAAAATTGGAGACTTACCAAAGAGAGCAACAAGAAAGCACCACAGGCAAGAGGGGTTCCACAGAGAGGGAGAGAAACAGAGGGACTGAGGATGAAAGTGCTGTAGAAGCTGCAGGGGTGGAGGTGGGCAGCCTACCTCTGTGCAGGGCACAGAAAGGTGGGCAGTCCTTCATCTTCAGACAGGCAGACAGGGCTGTCTGGGGAGTTTATTTTTACCTTGTTGAATGAGGAGTCTGGAGTCTGCGGTCAGGCAGCACCATTCAGCAGTGGTTCTAGGACAGATGCTGTCCCAGTGTGACAATCTTTCACGCCTGATGATACACAATCATCTACACACACACACAAGGACAAATCCCGCTCCTGGAGGAATCTTATGAAGTGTCATGCTTTGATTAGATCAGACTACACACATGCTGCTTTTTCATATTTAATAGTGACTGGTGTTTCTTTAGTGTCTTTATGGGAGAACCCCAATTATTTGCCACCTTGAGTTTTGTGCAAATAAAATGAGCGTTTTATACATTTATACATTTCATTGTGGGTTAAAAAATAAATCAGTCCGATGGTTGAAATGTTTAATACAGAAATGTGTCCTACGTTTTCAGTCCCTGCTCAAAGAGTCTGTTTATCATCGGCACAGTGATGTCTCTGAGTAGAAACCCTCAGACTATAGGCTTTAAAATAGACAGTGATGAGTTTAAAACGGCTTGCATTTAAATATAACAGAAGCTTTCAGTAAAGGGGTTGAAAGCAGACTGTAAAATAATAAACAAAGATTAGTGGAAATTGTTAAAAACTAAATAAACATAAAAATATAAAGCTTAAAGCATAAAACTCCATCCTCGTAGAGGGCCGTTTTTTGTATTGCACAGTTATTGCTTGATGTTAAATCCAACAGCATTGTTGCCTCAAAAAAAATTGAAAATGTAAAATGACTTTAACATGTATTGAAATACAACCTCTTAATCTATGTTGCCACAGCCTGGTATAGCTTTCTAGTCTTTCTTTTTACAGTGGTATGGAAAAATCTACAGGGTGGCTATTCAGAGTCAGCTTGATCTCTCCAAAGAGAGTAGTTTGTTCGTTGTCCAATGTTAACCAAAGATACAAAACAAATTTTATTTGTTTTGTATCTTTCTTTGCCATTGATTATTTGCCCCTAGTTATGCAGCCAATCTCATTTGTATCAACAAAAACACAGCAACATTTTTTTCCTAGGACCATGAAGGCATCACTGCCACTGCTCTGTCTTTATATGTTAGAACTTGCCAGAGGTAGCCAATCAAGGCAGAGTAGATGCTGCTTGTTTTCTTGACAACCACAACAGTATCAATGCTGGAGCACAGGTGATCTGCTGCTACTGCTATTGCTGCTTTAAAAGGATGTTGCCTTATGTTGTGCTTCTGACTGTTGTTTGTGACCTGGTGTGTGACCTCCTGTTCCACATGAGTCACACTGCATTGCCCTCACACACTACTCCATGTCACCACTGTTTTTCTTTTTATGTATCTTTTGTTTCCAGTTGAACCTTTGGGTAAATACCTTTTACAGATGGATTTATATTAAATATGGACTAAGATGTGATGTGCCACAGCAGTATATTTTTGAACTATCTGGGATAGGAATAGACGACACATTTACAAGTTTGTCCCCTGTCATTTTGTATATTTCCAGTGAATCTCTTGTCCCCACCATGAATCCCTTCTCTGTTTTTACTGCATGAAACATATAATTACAATCTAAGTCTGAAGGAGAACATTTTTTGTCTTTGTTTCCCTGCAGGTTAGCGCTGTATGTTTACGAGTACCTGCTGCATGTAGGAGCACAGAAGTCAGCACAGACCTTCTTGTCAGAGGTAAGTACTATAGTATAATGCCTTGTAATGTACTGTATGGGTCCACACATTAGGAGTCCTAACAGTTTGTTATTGTGGCCATACAGCACTAAGATAAGACGTTTCTCACATTTACTTCAGCTTTTCAAATTTGCATTGCATTTTTTACATCATCAGCTGGCAACAATTCTCAGACTTAGTGTGCAGTTGTGCAACACACCAAGATACACACCTCAGTTTAGACTCCCTCTCTTTCTCTCTCTTTGTCTCTCTCTCTCTCTGAGTGTTGTGTGTGTGTGAGCTGAGAGCGTGCTTCGGAGTGGCGAGTTTGTTTTTTTCATTGTTTTTTTTGTATAGGTGATATAGGTTGTTGTGAGGTGTATTACACCAGTGAAGGTGTTTTCTTTTTTCCTCGACTAATATGCCGATTGTAGACGGTAGAGCCGAGTTTGAGAAGCTGACGCGCCCAACGTAAGGTGCTCAGTGGAGGAGGTTGGTTTAGCCGTTGGAGAAGTGGTGGGATATGGCAGTGTGAAGTCTGCCTCCCGTATGAATAGAGCGGTATTGATTTTTTTAGACAGCACAGAAAGTCTCAAAAGTAGTTGAGTCTGGTCTAGTTATTCAGGACACATTTATCCCAGTGCTTCCGCTAGTTTATCCAAGCATAAAGATTACCATCTCTAATGCTCCTTCTTTTTATAAAAAAATGAAACTCTAGCAACGGAGTTATCACGGTATGGACAGCTTGTGTCCCCAATCAAAATGGTGTCTCTCGGGTGTAAATCTCCTCTGCTTTCCCATGTTGTGTGTCACCGCAGACAAGTATACATGGTAGTACTAAAGGATAGCGCAAATGATTTGAATCTGTCCTTTTATTTTACAATAGATGGATTTAATTATATGGTTTTTGCATCATCTGACACAATGAAGTGTTTTGGTTGTGGTGTTGTGGAGTTCCGAGTCCGCCGAGAACCGGGGCGCCACCACCGGATCTGCCGAGAGCCGGGGCACCGCCTACGGTTCCGCCGAGAACCAGGACTCCGATACCAGTCACGCCGAAGATCGGGGCTCCGATCCCGATCCTGCGAAGAGCCAAGGCCACGCCGCGGGTCCCGTCGTGGACCGGGAATCTGCCATTGGCCTCATGGAGAGCAGGGTTTCTGTT